TGCCCTATAGAAGGAAAGAGTGTCATCGTATGAGCACTTTAAGTAGTAGCCCACAACTGCCCGAATATGATGTTGAGGTTTTTTAGGATCATCAGTAGGCTTCAAAACAGATTCTAAGTCGGCGTATACGACGAAAGGGGCCCTTCCTTTATTTTTATGATTTTTGAACTTGAGAATGTTTTTACCCTCCTCAGACATCTTGATGGCTGTTTCATTGATTCTCTGACAATCCCCAGTATGTTTCTCTAGTTTTTCTTGGAGAGTAATGTAGACAGGGATCACGAAAGTACTTTCGACCATATTCTCCACTCAACTGTTTCGATAAGAGCCTTGATGAGTTCTTTACCCATACGTAGTGATAACGAACTGAAGTTTCACATTCATCATAATTATCTTGAATCAGCAGTAGGTTCACATGCCTAGCTTCCTTTTCCTTTGTGAGGTATGTAGGTAGGGTAATGAACGTTTCTCATTTCTTCTGAAGAATGTAAACATTGATAGAAATTTCATTCAGTTTTTCAAATTTCGGAATTTGTCTGATAGTCATTGGGAAATTAATTCCTCCAAGTTTCAATGCTTCAGAATGATGAGGATATGATGGAGTACGATTAGCATGTTTCTGCACAGGATAGAGTGCTGAGGTAACAGCCCATGCAAATCAAGCCTCATCATTGTTTTTCACATTCATGCAAGAATTTTTCAGCAAAATTTGAGGTGGAAGGTCCATGAATGAGGACCCCAGCTGCGGTGTGAACTTATTAATATTCACACCCAAATTCAAGATATTCTTCAGCGTCCAGCCGCTGTCCCTTTCTCTGAGTATTGGTGTTGTAACTTTTCCATCGAATCAATCGTTGAGGGCGGTGTCTCTATATATGGGAGAGTTCGTAGTAGTGAAGTACTTGTACTCCTTCAGTATTCTGTCTCCCTTCACTATCTCAAATTCTCCGCAGAAGGTGGTATTTACCTTGATAGATTCATCCTTCCTCAGAGCATTCTGAAATCTTCGCTTGAAGAGAGCCTTGCAGTCAACCATAAAAGCTGAGGGATCCTTATGTTTGAGATTGGAAATAACACCAGATCTAATTCTAGAGTTGAAAACTGACTTGGAATCATCCCAATGAACCCGCTTTTTAGCACCCTCAGGTCGTGATACCTGTCATGCCCCCTTCTTTCGTATCACTTTGAACTGTCTCCTTAGACTTTTGATATTACGATAACAGGCTTCCAAATGCTGCTTCTCACCCAGTTATGATGCGGTCTTTATCGCCTTCCTTATTCTCCGTGAACCTTCATCACATTATTTGATCCCAACCAGAGCACTTTTTTCATCAAACTCAGTGGTTATCAACCCCAAAAGAGAGGAGATATATTGCAACAAGTCAGCGAAGAGCGGCATTTTACTGTGATAAGATGTTTCCACTCCAAATATCTGTAACACAATGACAAAACTCAGCTGCGCGAGCACTTTTATCAACTAACGTTAAGTATGTGTCGATAGTGTGTAAAGAAGTTTATTCACGCCCTCAGGAGGTTGTCAGAAATGATTTTCTGACGTTACGATACACGCAAGAAAAACATTTCATGTATCGCAAAAATATATGTTTCAGTATAGGATGATTTTTCCATTTTTTTAAACAAATTATGTGTTTTGAATAAAACTTCTGCAATTACATTACACTCGTAGTTTCTCATAAACCAACAACTTTTAATTTCAAATATGTTCAATGATTTTCTTTGAATGTGCAATTCTTTCTATGCTTTTTTACATAGGACGCTGTATATTATATTTTTCATAATCTACAAATGGAATCATTTGAAATGAGTACCCATATCGGTCTGTTGCTGCTAGTATAATGAGAATAGGTTATAAGGTCCTTTTTGCTTCGAAAAATGATTAATTATGTTTCATGGCATGTAAACGAATCCATTGATGTTGGAATCATCGAAATTGGAGGACCGTAAGTGAAAACCGGAAGTGGTCGTTTTTTGATGGATTCGAAATCTTCTCGCCCTAAGGAATCCAAATATATCATATGTTTCAGTATACAATGATTTTTTCATTTCTTTGTCAATAAATTCTGCCTTTTGAATCAAGCTTTTGCAATTGGAATAAACTTATGGTTGTTCATAACCCAACATTTTTCAATTCCAAGTTTGTTCAATGATTTTTGTTGAATTTGCAATTCTTCCTATGCTATTTCACACCAAGCGTTGGATATTATATTCGATACGCCATCTTTGTTTTTTCTTTGTCGGTACACTCTGTATTCGTTTCCCTTCCACTTGATGTGCTGCACGTTGAGATTCAACTATCATTAACAAAGATTTGGCTTAGTGCCTTTCTGACATGTTGCGTCATCTTTGTTTTTTCTTTGTCGATGAATTCTGCATTTCTAATCTTTTCATTTGACTTGTTGTACGCGACGATTCGATCATTATTAGTGAATATACAACTCAGTGCCCTTCTGACAGTTGCGCTATTATTTTTTGTAATGACTCATCAATTTCCACAAACCCTCACACACGCCATCACCTCCCACGCTGACTACGTCACTTTCAAGGTTTAAATTTTATCACTATTATTATTATTACTCGACCCACATTCTCCAGTTCAATTTCATCTAACACAATCAATCGAGCGATATTTGATCCCTCCATTCTGATTAGCTGACCGCACTACTCTGTAACAGAAGTTAGGTTGAGTGTTCCACAAGGTTCCGTTCAAGAGTCTGAAAATTCGCAAAATGAATCTTCATATTACAAAGCATGGACTTTAGACATTTTCTGATGATGCTTACTTGGTTAGGGGAACGCGTTAAATGATGAATGACTGTCATATTGAAACACGAAAAACCGTTACGACAATAACGATGGAACGATAACGAATAAACGCACGGAAAACAGTCGAAAACGCACGAAAAACGATCGAAAACGCACGCAAACGATCGAAAACGATCGAAAAAGATCGAAAACGGTTGAAAACGCACGCAAAACGGTCGCACTCAAAACGGTGGCACGCAAAACAGTCGAAACGTTTGTAAAACGGTCGCTTTTACCATTTTCAAATGTTAACTCCACAATACGTAACTCCTTGATACCTTTGGTACCATCTCCTTCTTTACCTGATGATGCTAACTTGGTTAACAAAGATACGAGACTTATTGTTCTTCTGACATGTTGGAACGATAGACTTCTGTTGAACCAACATGTTTTTTTTTAAATGATGTATTTTGAAACGCCCTGTATACACAATGATATCATATTTTAAACCGACATGGTTTTTCCTTGAATGATATATTTTGACACAACCTGTACACTTCGTCGCCATTTTTGTTTTCGATGATGTATTTTGAGATACCTTGTACACATTGAGGGAGATCGCACTTCGAAAACCTACAGCCTCGTGGAACTGTTATGTTTTTTTTGATGATGTATTTTGACGCACCCGGTACACTTTGACGCCATGTTTGTTTTCGATGATGCATTTTGAGATACCTTGTAACATTGAGGGATCGCACTTTGAAACGATACAGCCTCATTAATCTGTAATGTTTTCCCTCAACTTTGATTCAATATTATTAATATATCACTTTCGCGCTTCCAATTTTTATCAAATCGTTTACGATTAATTTCAAAACCGGCAACGCTACATTGCCCCACAAACAACAATTTATTGCACAACCGGTAACACCTGCTTGCGCCAGCAACCGGTAAATCTCGATACCATCTCCATCTCTCTTTGCATCGATTACGTCACTCGCGTCTCTCGCTCTCACACACACACATACACATCTTTACATTAAATATTGATTATTTCCCAAATCTAAGTATATTTTCCTATCTTCAATATGATAATGACGATTACAACTTCCCTAACATTCTACGGAAATAAAAAAATGCGGTCAAGTCAATGAGTCAATTTCGGTCCGGACAAAACTAACGTTATAAATACCCATCTTTCGCAGTTACTTTCAATGTCTTACATTGGTGTAGAGGCTAAGGACAATGTCTACCACGCGGACGTCCTTGGTTCGAATTTCATAACTATAAAGTTTTTTTAATTGAAATCACGTGACTGGAACGTGACAAGGCGGCCGAGGGATGAGGCAGAGTCGCAAGAGGGCCTGAGCGGTGATGTGGAGTACTAAGGGGGCCGAGTTCCCTGCTTGAAACGCTACGATACTCGTTCCATCCTGCGTCGATTACGTCACACGTTTCTCTCTTCCACTCACTAAAGTTTCTCTCTGAAATACTTAGCAGCAACGCACCACCTTGAAGTGGTCCAGAACATACATTGTTCATCTACTGATTTGAATTTCCCGCTCTATGCGCGATAGCTGACTGGTTGACTGAATGACGGTGAAAGTGGAAAAGTGGAGGTGGTCTGAAGTGGGCTTTGAAGGCTAAGGCTCAGTTTACACATAATGGACATTTGGCAGAGACGCGGCGCTGACCTTTACTCCTTTCGTGTGAAGTGGGCCTGAGATCCAAAAAGGACCAGAATGAAGCGTCATAAGAAAATACATGGGATTTTGGGCTGGAATTCCTTAAGAGGATGCGGTGACGGTGAACCGGATTTGGAATCCCATTCTAAAAGATGCTGAAGCGGCAACAGCGCAATGCAATGTTACATCATTAACAGGTAATACCCAACACTTCTGCCGATAACAACGCATCAACAATAAAGACGACCACCTGAGTCAACATAAATACAACTTACGAATTAGAAATCACCAGTTTTTGGTGAATCATCAAGATGAATAAACCTCTGAAGAAGCCAGCCACTCGTGCTGTCGGAACTATAGGATGCAGTTGCAAACTACGACGGCCTTCAAACCCGAATGAAGATACTAACACTGAAAATCTCGGCCGCGAAAGTCTTAAGTCATATTTTGATATTATGAATTTTATAACTGTATCCTCCTGAGAATAAAATCGCCATATTAGGCGTTACTTGTGAGCAAAGTGGATAAGATGATCGATTTATTCTTTTTCAGGTTTGTTGTCACGTGCTATACTACAAAGTGCAAGTCCTATCGCGCACCTCGGTATAACAGTGGATGCCAGGCATAACGCTTTCGCTGTAGGAAAAGCGTTGGATCCCAACTTTTCTTTCACGAATTCTTCAACAGACCTCCTAAGATTACTTGAAATGTTTCCCGCTGAAAAAATCATGAGGACAGAAATTGAGGTAAATTTTTCACATTTTATAGAAAAAGTAGTAAATTGTATTGTTCAGGATGTAAGTCTTGTTTGAAATTTATGATAATGATAATAGTTCTATCGAAATTATTTGCATTTTTTTAGTTGCCTCTGCTTTTTTGAAATCAAAGGTTTGTTTAAGAAAATAGCCAAGTGATTGAAACTTTGCACCAATTATGTTAAAATTTTCATAGCAAATTTTCTCTCTAAAAATGTCCGTATGAGTAAAAATGTATCAGAAAAGTTAAACTCTATGATGAGTTTGTTATGTATATATGAATTGATGACAATTAACCGAACTTGTTTTTTAAAATAAAGGGGATATCTGTCAAAAATAAGCAAAACGTTAACTTCATACTAGTTGCATAAAATTTCACTCTTCTCTCACTTTTTCTATTTTTTTTTCAAAAAAAAGTTGAATTTGACAAACACTGAACGTCAGTGGGTCGCAGTTGGCTGCATCATTTTGAGTTAAATTTAAAGCACAAACAAGTGCCGAAGTTGAACTTCATTGAAACTTTTCGAAAAAAAAGTTTCCCATATGGTGCAAACTTCAATGGTGACACTGTATGTTTTCATTCTTGTTTTTGATATATGATGAATTTGCTAATCTGTGATTGCCTTGAAGGTAGCGAATTATGTATCGTGTCAACTGTGATTTTTCCGAAATTGTGGTTTACGGATTCACCCAATAATAAATGGTCACATTATGACTTTATGACCGTATTTCCCGATATTCATAGAAAAACGTTTTTTGCTTGGTGTGAAAGATTTTATTTCTAATTTGTAATTTTTTTGTATTCTACTTAGGCTTACTCACTACGAAAGATGGGGTATTTCCAGCCAATATAGCCTTAAAAGATCAAAATTTGGCACTGAAATGGATTCAGAGCAATATTAATTATTTTGGAGGTGATCCCTCAAAAGTTACTTTAGCTGGACACAGTTCAGGAGCTGTTTCTGTAGGATTCCATGTTATCAGTAAACAATCCAAAGGTGAGAACTGAAATCTGTATTCATTGAACACTTTCGAAATGACAGATGATACTGAGTATTAGGTACCAGCATTCGCAAAATGAATAAAAAGGTACTCATTTGTAAATTTTACTAATTCGGGCTTCCGTTGTCTAATATGATTCTAATATGAATAAAAATGTCTAAAAAAACAAATAAGATTAAAATGAATGGTTGAATATATCTATGATAATAACGACGCTGTATAGCGTCGTCCAATCACTTTCCGAATCGGAAGGACGAAATCTCGGCCTTGCGATTCGGAAGATTGAACGGCGTGTACACAATATGGAGGCTAAGATCACGTCGGCGAGACAACACGCGTCTCGTATCCAATGTGTGATGGATTACAGGGCGGACAACAGACCTTTCACCCCCGCAGTGCGGCGAATAGCCGTTAAACTACGATGTATCCATCACACTTCAAGTTTAGGCGTGCTGCTGACCACCAAACAGCAGTGCCTTGATAGGATACGAATGCAAGTGGCTGCTGAGAAATCACTATTAGTCTGCGAAGGTCCCGCATTTTGAAAGGTGAATTAAAAGGTGTATTTTGTAATTTTGGATAGGAAGGAAGAAAAACTAAAAGTGAACATAACATTCTTTCTCAACCAAGACCAACAAAAAACTCGAAAAAACAAATTACAAAATGCAAATAAAAACAAAAACAAAAATAAAATTCTTCACTTGAGTTACAAACTTCAATAAATGAAACATAACTCTAATATTTGGGTGATATCACATTAAAAATATTACCAAAAAGCATAAATCATGAGGACAGAAATTGAGGTAAATTTTTCACATTTTATAGAAAAAGTAGTAAATTGTATTGTTCAGGATGTAAGTCATCCAACACAAATTAATGTCGTATTAACCTCAGACTTCCAGCTGAGAGGCTAAAAACTTGGCAGAATTATACCCTGACAATTGTTTTCAGATGTGTTGCCAAGACGATCTACCCGTTTTTCCTTCCCCACCCAATTGCGTCAAACTCGCACATTGGAAGACATTGATAATATGGATTTATACTTTTATCAAAACTACCAATGGACGAGTATGTTACACTTCCCAACAAATCAGTAAATATAAAACTGAATGAGGGATATTTTCAATAATCAAATTTCTGCCAAAATAATGACGGGGAGAACTGAGGTTAAGCAACTTCTCTGAGAAAAAAGTCCATCACTGACAAAAAAAAAAATAATTTTCAGTATGTTTTACTGTGAAAAACCAACCAATTCTATGTGATGGAATTGACCAATATGTGACGAAGTTCCAGTACTTCAGGTGAAGTGGCCAGGAATGGGAAAAAACTGCTTACAAATATTCTTTGATATTATAAATATAGTAGTTCAATAACAATGGTTTTCATCAAGTATCATTAACAATATTCAACTATGAAAATACAGTTCAACTCTACATCGAATAATCTAGAACACATTCATAAAATGATTCGTAAGTACACAAATACAATAAAGGTTCTAAGTGTATATATATCATAACACATATTACGAGGTCTGTTCTAAAAATAAGGTGAATGTTCAAATTTGGCAGGCTACGTACATTCAATTACCGATTTTTTGTTTTTTCATATTGGTTCATTCGTCTCGAATATACTTTCACAGTTTCAGCTATTTATCGGAGTCTACATAACTTCACTTTCAATTTTCTCGATAAATCTCTGAGATCAATAACCAGTACAGAGTTTTCAGGAACAATGAATGAATTCCTTTTCACATGGCCAGAACACATTGAGTTTACATCTGAGAAACTGGACCAATCATGTTACCTATTGAAATCACTAAAAAGTAAACTAGATACCAAATATCTACTTACAATATAACGCAAAATTTCACTTCATAGTATGTTGCATTGCTGCCTGGGGGTCAGCCACTGAAAATGGCAAATTATTTGTGGAACAGAAGGCAATGTTGAGTTTAATGTTCAACCTTGATTACAGAACGTCATATAGGAAAATATTTTTACACAATAAAATAGTAGCTGTGGAAAGCATTTTCATTTCAAGACAAACTTTCATGAGAGTATAAGACATCTTGACATAATATTAGGAAAAACAATATGCTCACAACTCGTAAAAATATCTATAAATAGGAGATTTAAGCCGGTCTGAGCCTCCCCTCACCACTATGACGTATTAATTGCTTTCATTGCCAATTGATGAAGTGTACATAATTGAAAATATGTCAACATATTCTACATGGTTTGGTAAATCAATTCTATTAACTTTGGAAGATGGAAGCAATGATAAATTATTTAAAACATGGCTACCAAAACATATTTTGTTGCAATTCAGTAATGACGATATAACTTGTATCAACTCATCGGGTGGTAAATATACGATGACGTATTTAGGTCAGAGCCCACAAAGCTCTGCTGACATGAAAACGCGATCTCTAGTCAAATTCAATATGATTGAATAATAATAGTAATTATAGTGAATTTGTTTTTGTTTTGATAATATTCATATATTAGATGATTCAGATAATAATTATATCGGAATATAAATATTACTAATTTAGTTGAATACACTCACTTTATAACTACAAATAAAATGGGAATGTGAGTATTATATCATGAAAACAAGTTGGAGGTTGCTTATTGTTTTTTTATTCGATTTCAGTTCCACCATCCAATGATCTGGATGCAGTATGCAAGTCAAGATTGGATCGATGTTGTAGATCTCAAATCATCGGTTCAACATTTGCCGTGTGAATTGAAGGTGTTAGGTGATGGAGCCGATCATGCAAGCATTTATGATATGAGTGTATGCTATGATGATGAACAAATCGAATTATGTCTTCGTGATGCTGAGAACTATCGGAGTGGTGCAGAAGTTTGTAANAATATACAATGCATTGCATGGTTCAGTTCACAGCAGTTATTGACACTCTTCAAATTATTGATACTATTCCATTTTTCCACTCTATCATGTACTGTTTCATAATATTTTATTCGTAACTGACTCATATTATGTATTGTAATTTTTTCCTAACTCCACTTCATATATATCATATTTATTGTTTTGTAATCATTTTCAATTGTATATAATGGGATTTAAAAAAATAAAACATGAAAATAATACAAAGTTTTTTATTTGACATTATTCATGATTTACAGGAATATACAGACTATCTAAAATAACTTCTTCCTCATAGTCATCATTTTCGCGACCATCTTCAATTTCCTTTCTATTTTCATCATTCAATTCAAAGTGATGAATAATCCATTCTGGCAAATATGGTTAGAGACTATACAGGAATCTTCTCAGGTTCAGTTCAATCATAACCTCACAAAGTTGACACAATTCCAATTCATTATCCAAAAATTCATTACAAATATTTGCACCACTTCTATAGTTCTCAGCATCACGAAGACCCAATTCGATTTGTTTTCCATCATAGTATATACTCATATCATAAATGCTTGAATGTTCGGCTCCATCATCCAACACCTTCAATTCAGTCGACAAATGTTGAACTGATGATTTGGGATCTACAACATTGATCCAATCTTGACTTGCATACTGCATCCACATCTTTGAATGGTGGAACTGAAATCGAATAAAAAACAATAAGCAAACTCCAACTTGTTTCCATGATATAATACTCACATTCCCATTTTACTTGTAGTTATGAAGTGAGTGTATCCAACTGAGTTGTAATATTTTTATTTCCATATAATCATCATCAAAATCATCTAATATATGGATATTATTAAAACAGAAACCAATTCACTATAATTACTGTTATTATTCAACCATATTGAATTTGACTAGAGATCGCGTTTTCATGATAGCAAAACTTTGTGGGTTCTGACCTAAATACGTCATCGTATATTTACCACTCAATGAGTTGATACAAGTTATATCGTCATCACTGAATTGCAACGAAATACGTTTTGGTATACATGTTTCAAATAATCTATCATTGCTTTCATCTTCCAAAGTTGATGAAA